GTAAAGAAACTAGGAACTTTGAAAAAAAGTTTGATGAAATCCTATTGAGACTAGACAACTTAGAGAGGAGTATGAGTGAATTAATGGAACTGAAGAATACAATACAGGAACTCCGAGAAGTTTGCACAAGTTTAAACACTGGAATTGTTCAAGCAGAAGAAAGGTTATCAGAGGTCAAAGTCCAACTTAATGAAATAAAACGCAAAGAAAAGGTTAGAGAAAAAAGGATAAAAAGGAATGAGCAAAGTCTCCAAGAAATGTGGGACTATGTGAAAAGACCAAATCTACATTTGATAGGTGTACCTGAATGTGACGGAGAAAATGAATCCAAGCTGGAAAATACCCTTCAGGAAATTATTCAGGAAAATTTTCCTAAACTAGCAAAGCAGGTCAATATTCAACCCCAGGTAATACAGAGAACACCACAAAGATATTCCTCAAGAAGAGCAACCCCAAGGCACATAATCGTTAGATTCACTAGGGCTGAAACGAAGGAGAAAATACTAAGGGCAGCTAGAGAGAAAGGTCAGGTTACCCACAAAGGCAAGCTTATCAGACTTACAGCAGATCTCTTAGCATAAACTCTAGAAGCCAGAAGAGAGTGGGGGCCAATATTCAACATCCTCAAAGAACAGAACCTTCAGCCCAGAATTTCATATCCAGCCAAACTAAGCTTCACAACTGAAGGAAAAATAAAATCTTTTATAAACAAGCAAGAACTCAGAGATTTTATTACCACCAGGCCTGCTTTACAAGAGCTTCTGAAAGAAGCATTACACACAGAAAGAAACAACCAGTATCAGCCCTTCTAAAAATATACCAAAAAGTAAAGAGCACCAACATAAAGAAGAATTTACACCAACGAATGGATCAAACAGCCAGTTAACATCAAAGGGCAGTAACCCTAAATTTAAATCGACTAAATCCCCCAATCAAAAGACACAGCCAAAACCCAACGGCATGTTACATCCAGACTTGTTTCACATGCAAGGATACACAAAGACTCAAAACAAAGGGATGGGGAAAGATTTACCAACCAAATGGAGAGCAAAAATAAATAAATAAATAAATAAAAAGCAGGAGTTGCAATTCTCGTATCGGATAAAATAGATTTTAAAGCAACAAAGATATAGTGGTAAAAGGATCAATACAACAACAAGAGCTAATGATCCTAACACCCAGATACATAGAGACTTAGACACAATGAGACAGAAAATTAGTAAGGATATCAAGGACTCAAACTTAGATCCAGAACAAGTAAACGTAATAAATATTTATAGAGCTCTCCACTTCAAATACACAAAATATACATTCTTGTCAATACCACATCACACGTACTCATAGGTTTAAATGAAACATTGATTGGCCATTATTAATACCCATTTTTTTTTTCAGAATAAAGCAATATTTCCACTCACTCTCCCTCTTTCTCTTCCTCTTTCTTCCTCTCCTTTACTCATTTTTTTCTTCTTTCCTTCACTCAAAAAAAAAAAAAAAAAAAAGAAATCAACTTGTAAACCTCTAAGATCCAGGTCGGCAATGTCTCTCTTATTGCTTGAATTCCTTCCTTCCCTTCCCTCCCTCCCTCCCTCCCCTCTTCCTTCCTTCCTTCATCCCTCCCTTCCTTAAAAAAAAAAAAAAAAAGAAGGAAGAAAGAAAGTGCTCATTTGGAGAGAAAACTCATCATGGAGTTAAAGGGAATAGTACTGAATACATGAATACATGGCCCTGTACTTTGCTCAGAGGTGTAATTGCTGGTCCCGTCCAATGACCAAAAGATTTCTCAGCTTCCTCAACTCTCCCCAGGCCTCTGGGAGGTCATCAAACCTTTCCAGTTAATAGTTCTAGTACTTCTCACTTGAAAAGAGGAAGCAGACTTCCTCCACCTTCTAATCTGAACGCGTCCCTTTTGAGCTGTGGAGAGATAAGAAGTTCACAGACCTAATTTTACCACATATACATGTATCTCATCAAAACCAGACTCCAGCTGAGAATTCATTGTTCATAGCAGGGCTCCTAGCATCTGAAATGTTAAGACTCTCACTGACTGTTGCAAAAAATGTTAATGTGTCACTTTTGGGGCTTCCACTTCCTGGCTTTGAAACAATGCTGAATTTGCAATCACCTTTCAAAAGCCCAAATTATACAGTGTGTTCCAAATGTTAACAAAGGCATTGGATTTTCATTATGACAGCTTCATCTACCAAGAGGGGGGAAGAAAAGTTCTCTAGAACATGACATATTCTAAGGCACATTTTCTGTATTGATTTTTTATTCATTTTTATTTATTTAATTTTTGTGATGGAGTCTCGCTTGCTGCCCAGACTGGAGTGCAGTGGTACAATTTCAGCTCACTGCAACCTCCTCCTCCTGAGTTCAAGCAATTCTTGTGCCTCAGTCTCCTGAGTATCTGGGATTCCAGGCACCTACCACCATGCCCAGCTAATTTTTGTATTTTTAATAGAGACAGGGTTTCACCATTGTGGTCAGGCTGGTCTCGAACTCCTGACCTCAGGTGATCTGCCCGCCTTGGCCTCCCAAAGTGTTGGGATTACAGGTATGAACCACCACACCTGGCTCTATATAATTTTTAAAAATAATATAAGAGATTCAATGGATATAAATGAGCATCTGAGTTTAATAAGAAGTGGTTTTATGTGGCCAGGAGCGGTGGCTCAAGCCTGTAATCCCAGTACTTTGGGAGGCCGAGGCGGGTGGATCATGAGGTCAAGAGATCGAGACCATCCTGGTTAACATGGTGAAACACTGTCTCTACTAAAAATACAAAAAATTAGCTGGGCATGGTGGTGTGTGCCTGTAATCCCAGCTACTCAGGAGGCTGAGGCAGGAGAATTGCCTGAACCCAGGAGGCGGAGGTTGCGGTGAGCCGAGATGGCGCCATTGAACTCCAGCCTGGGTAACAAGAGCGAAACTCCGTCTCAAAAAAAAAAAAAAAAAAAGAAGTGGTTTTATGAATTTAAGAATACTAAAGTGTTATATAATTTTCTCCCTTACTTGAGTGTTATTTATTAAGATGATTCCCACTCAGGCCACTGTGAATTCTAAGATTGGTAAAGAAGTTTCTAAGGTCATGGGTGCTGACATTTACCTATCAATGATTCATCCTGGAAGTAAGTAATGTGTCATCAAGAATTTAGATTATCTTTTTAGTTTATAAAAATGCTCAATTCACACTTAAACTTCAACAATAATTAGCTAACTGTATAAAAGAAAATAGAAATGTATTGTGTCCTTTAACAAACTTGTACTTAAAGTGTCAAGCATTTTCTTAGTTATCAGTCATTGTTTATTTATTTTAAAATGTTTTCATGTTCAGCTTCATGCTGTTCAACAAATTCTTATTGACTTTGCCTCGTTGACCTTTAGAGCTATTCGGTCTAATGACTCCCTTTAAGTTTTGTCTTATCTCGTCATATGGCAGCTCAGCATGTTTGCTGAGTAAACTTTGTTAAGGCCTGATAAATGTGCAGCAACTAAAATGGCGTTGTAGTGGATAAATGTTTGAAACAGAACACATTATACCTTCTGTGTATAAAAAGAACGGCATCAACATTGTTTTAGGTCTTGAAACTTGAGTTTGTTCATAACTCAACCTCAACACTCATGTATACATGCAGAGAAACACACACACACACACACACACACACACGGTGTTATATCATATGCCCTATTCATTCAGATCACTCGTGTGTTGACTTGGCCACAGAAGAGAGGCTTTAGGTTAACCAATCCTAATGATCGCTTCAAGAACCTTTGTGAAAGAACAGCTTAAAAATCCTGGATTCAGCACGTCAGTCTTCACTACGAATCTTTAGTGGTCAAATAGATTCCCTCTAGGCTGGCACCATGGCTCATGCTGTAATCCCAGCACTTTGAGAGACCGAGGCAAGCAGATTACTTCAGATCAGGAGTTTGAAACCAACCTTGCCAATATGGAAACCCTGTCTCTACTAAAAATTAGCCAGGCATGGTGGTGTGCACCTGTAATCCCAGCTACTTGGGGCGTGTGGGCTGAGGCAGGAGAATAGCTTGAACCTGGCAGGTGGAGATTGCAGTGAGCCGAGATCATACTGCTACACTCCAGCTTGGGTGACAAAGCAAGGCTCTGTCTCAAAAAAAAAAAAAAAAAAAAAAAAAAAAAGCCACACACACAAAACAGTAGATTTTCTCTTAGCACCAAACTTCACGCCTGGAGATCTGGGATATGGTAATTTCTGTGAGCCTCTTCTTACAAAATGACAGGGTCTCTGTCTTACAAAATGACAGGGTTGGACTGGAGGACTTGATTTTATGACACTCAAATGTTTTATAATTAGCACATGATCTATTGCTTCTTGACAGGCAATAGCAGCCATAAAGTTAAGAGTTTGTCAATTGAAGTCAAACAGATCTAGGTGTGAATTCCAGCTCTGCCCAATACTGAGTTTGAATATGGGCATCTTTTAACCTCTCAGGCCCCAGTTTCCCTAGTTGTAAAATGGATAGTAATCCCTGTTTCTGAACTTTGTTCTGAGGATTAAATGAGATCATGTGTGAAAGTGCATAGCTTAGAAACCAATACTGTTTGTTATTATCGAGTGGTAAAAAATGACTTTGGATCTGAATCCAGGAAAATACCAAGACACCAAGAGCCTTCTCTACCTCTGTGTTTTTTCACTGTGCTATTTCAGTGTTATCTTGGAGTTCCATGGGTAAAATAGGCCTCAAATAATAGAATACGGGGGGAGGGAGAGCATCAGGTTAATTAGGTAATGCATATGGGGCTTAATATCTAGGTGATGGGTTGACGGGTGCAGCAAGCCGCCATGGCACACATTTGCCTATGTAACAAACCTGCACATCCTGTGCGTGTACCCTGGAACTTAAAATAACATTAAATTAAGTGAAGAAAAAAAGAATATGGAGAATTCCACCATTAAATGGAATTTTAAATTTGAATAACATTTGAACTAAAATGTAAATAAATCTGTTTATTGCAGGTAGTCAAAATGGACACATCCATTCAACCTCTTTGCAGCAAATAAAAACTGTGACAGAGCAAGTGAGGCAAAGTCAAGAAAACGCTGCATCTCCCCAGGCAACTGGCAGCACCCAGGTGTCCCAGCCATCAGGAGCCAGGACACAAAGCCAGGTGTCTGTGTTCATGGGGCCCCAGGAGCCCTCCTGTGACTCGGGTATCCTGAGAACGATGTCCCAGAGTGATGTCCGGGCAGAGATCTTCTTATGGAGCTTTCTCCTGTGGTCTGACACAATAGAAATGGTGCGTGTGGCCGGTCACCCCAACGTGTACAAGTCAAGCTGGCTATACCCAGTCTACATATTCAGTTTTATTTCTCTCCTTCGAATTACATTCACTCCCCAAAACCCTCTTCTCAATTCCCTGGGCGTCCTGCTGCAAGATTTGCCATTCGTTTTTGTTAGACTTGGTTTGATCATTGCACTGGGGACCATCACACCTGTACTGGGCCTGTGTAAAAATGTCCTCGTGACTCTCTCTTACATTTACTTCAATTACCTAACCAGACTCAGGTCTTTCTCTGCCTTTGAAATGTCTCCATTTTAAAAAGAAAGTGGGATCGAGTAAGACCTGTGTGCGCATTTGTAATCCTTTTTTTCCTTGGGGTGTACATTTTTGCACTATTAAAAAAAACTAGATTTTAGAGAATAAGCCATTTTTACTAACTCTAGCATATCAGTTTTTTTTTTTTTTTTTACATACACAAATGGTGCTAAATTTAAGCAAAGTTATATTCTTAGATGTTGGCTTTCAGGTATTTCTAGAAAATATTAGTTGTTAATTTTAGTTAGTTATGTATACTGAGGTCCCCAACCCACAGACCATGGTCCCGGTACTGGTTCGTGATCTGTTAGGAATCAGGCCTCACAGCACCAGGTGAGCCTCGAGCTGAGCATTCCTGCCTGAGCTCCGCCTCCTGTCAGATTAGCAGTGGCATTTGATTCTCACAGGAGCTCAAACCCTGCTGTGAACTGCATTTGCGAGGGATCTAAATTGTGCCCCTTATGAGAATCTAATGCCTGATGATCTGAGGTTGAACAGTTTCATCCCAGAACCATCCCCCACCCACCCCCACCTCCACCCCCAGCCATGGAAAAATTGTCTTCCGCAAAACTGGTCTCTGGTGCCAGAAAGAATGGGGACCACTGATGTATACCACACTTTTTCTAAGAATACTCTTCAATAGAGCCCTTTTAAAAACTAAGAACCTTTTTTTATCAAGTTAGCCCAAGAATAAGATTTTTATCTTTTATATAAATTAGAGAGCATTATATGAATCGACTGATTAAATTTAGTTTTAAAAAACACACTTGAAGTTATTGAATCATTTTTAGATTATACTTTTTAAAAATTTGAAAATTGTAGTTTTAGGGGTTCCTTCAAACATGGAATTATATTCTTTATTCCATTGTGGCAAGGGACTTTTATTTAATAAATTGATTTCAGCATAAAAAGCAATGCACTTTAATAGATATTTGGCTGAGTTTAAGGCTTAGCTGTTTTGCCAGTACTGAAGTACTAATATGAGTGTTGTTTTGTATGATGAAGGCAAGGTACATCAGTAATACCAAGATAAAGTTTCATAATAAAAAGCCATAAAGTGAAGACAGAGATTTCAAAGTAAAAGAATATTTTATTTGTGGAATTTGATACTGTGATAAATAATCAAGTGCAAGCCCTGTTTAAAATTAAAAGTTCAGCTTACAAATATAATAGACAATGTATCAGTGTCTTATGTGATACGATATCATGAATGTATTGATGTTATAAAATAATTAGCTACAAAGTCGTGCAACTTGCTTTCACCCTGTTGGGACACTCTCTGATATTCCCAGTCAATGCTGTTCATTTGATAAAAATTTTCAGGTGCTAGAGAGATCTGTGAGAGGCTTATGTATGCAAGAGTAGTGGTTTATATAGTCAGTTTATTCAATAATTTGTGGTAACAAATAGCTTAAGAATTCGACATGTGGCCCGGTGTGGTGGCTCATGCATGTAACCCCAGCACTTTGGAAGGTCAAGGCAGGTGGATAGCTGGAGTCCAGGAGTCTGAGACCAGCCTGGGCAACATAGAGAGACCCCACCTCGATAAAAAATACAAGAATTAGCTGGGTGTGGTGATATGCACCTGTAGTCCCAGCTACTTAGGAGGCTGAGGCAGGAGGATTGCTTGAGCCCAGGAGATCGAGGCTGCAGTGAGCTATGATCAAGCCACTGCACTCCAGCCTGGACGACAGAGTGACACCCATCTAAGAAAAAATAAAAGAGAATTTGACCTTGTGTTATTCTACACTTCACCAAATGCCCCACCCCCTGCCACCTCATCTCCCTTTCCCTGTGTTAGGATTTTTGTCACACTGTTAGAGAAGGTCTGCTCACAGTTGTTAAAAGCTTACCTTCCAGCTTTCTGATCTGAGGTAGGTTCTTTGACCTCTGTGGGCCTCCGTTTCTACATCTAAAAGATGAACATAATACTAGTACTACATTAATAAGGTCAGGAGGATTAAAGGGTAAGGAAACCCCTGAGCACCTTATCTGGCAGATGGCAAAGCACATTATCTGATAAATGTTAAGCACTGGATTGGTAACAAGTTTCCAAGAAACAAGTATCTCAATGCATATTTAGAATTTCCTGTTTTATTCTTCTCTGTGTCCCTGCTCACCCTCTGGGAATTATCATTTAAACCTTGCATTTGAGAAAATTAATATAATCTTAAGGTTAATTCAGATTCTACTTTTTCATTGAGCAGTATTGTGTTAAAAAGTGATCAATCTGCTGAACGTATAGATTAAAATGGACACAAACCTCCGTTCATTGGACATTTGAGTGTCTCTCCTCTGAGTTCCCATAGAATCTGAATTACAGCATTTTACTTATACTTACATTATGTGTTTACTTTTCTGAATGTCTTATTCATCTTTAAATTCCTTAGAGAAAAGCCTGAAAGCATCTTGTTTAACAATGCATCTCTCTCCTCATCAACTAAACCTGCAGGTGCTTACCAGACTTATAACTTAAATAAATCATAACACAAGGCCTGGTGCAGTGGTTCATGCAATGATTCCAACACTTTGGGAGGCCTTGGCAGGCAGATCACTTGAGGTCAGGAGTTCCAGACTAGCCTTGCCAACATGGTGAAACCCCGTCTCTACTAAAAGTACAAAAATTAGCCAGAGGTGGTGGCACGAACCTGTAGTCTCAGCTACTCAGGAGGCTGAGGCAGGAGAATCACTTGAACCCAGGAGGCAGAGGTTGTAATGAGCTGAGTTTGCCTCTTTGTACTTCAGCCTGGTTGACAAGAGTGAAACTCATCTCAAAAAAAAAAAAAATTATAATACAAGTAATTTCTTTCAAATTCTGCCATGGATAGCTTTTTAATATTAAGAAAAGCCTATAACCAAGGGATTCATTTATAATATTCCTAAATATAAAAATATGTTATGTAAACATATATTTATCTCTATATTAGAACTTAGTGCCAGTGCTTGGATCAACTGAGAAGTATTACTTGAGTTTAGAGTGCATTTTGTATCTAATATTTTAATATTAATGTGCCTGATATTTTCAGAAGTCACAACCCTTTATACAAATAATGAAGGCATATACAAAAGATTGTGTGTAGAAGGAAAATGGAGTAGCTCATTTAGTTTAATTTAATATTTTAATTCGAGTGTACACATGTTTATTGAGTGCAATTCTATGGTGTTTAATAGATATTACAGCAAATTACACTGGGAGAACATTGATAGTTCTACACTGTAATTAAAAGTTACATGTATTATTAAAATTATTAGGTTGGTAAAAAAGTAATTGCGGTTTTTGCCATTGAAAGTGGTGATGCGTGCCTGTAATCTCAGCTACTTGGGAGGCTGAGGCAGGAGAATTGCTTGAACCTGGGGGGCAGAGGTTGCAGTGAGCTGAGATCTCACCACTACACTCCATCCTGGTTGACAGAGCAAAATTCTGTTTCAAAAAAAAAAGTCAAATACAGTTATAGGAAAGTACATTTAAAAATTAATCTGTGATTAGACTATTAATATATAGTCTAATAATTTTATTGCATTATAGTAATCAAATAATTGTGTAATTTTATAAAATTTTATTGATGCTATAATTTTTATAAAATTGTATTTATTTTATAATTTTACAAAAAATTCTAATACCTATAATAGACTTTTTTAGTGTCTTTTCTTTCTAAATGTTAATGTTTGAAATTTTGATGTGTAAATGATACGGTCTTGTTTATCTTGTTGAGGCCCCCTTTCACTGAGTGACAATTGAATTGAGGCATAGGAACGAAAAGGGAAATAAAATTGCTTGCTGAAGGACTACTGTGTGCTGGGTGTTATGCTGTTTGCCTAATTAATGATTGCCTTGTGCTGCGTTCCTTGGAGCAGGGCCTTACATAGTGCATATATCAATGGCTTTTCACAAAAAAAGAACAATGTACTACTTAGAAACTATAGAACTTAAAGTACAGGTGGCTGAGGCAGGAGAATCGCTTGAACCCAGGAGGCAGAAGTTGCAGTAAGCCAAGATCGTGCCACTGCACTCCAACCTGGAAACAGAGCGAGACTGTCTCAAAAAAACAAACAAACAAAAAAAAACCTACTTATACTCCATAGAAGATATAGTAAATAATAAAAGAAAAAAAAATGAAATGGTTAAAGACATTTTGTTTTACAAAGGGGCTATTTTTACATGTTAATTAAAATTCTATGTTTAAGCAAATCTCTTGTTGGGACGTCCGTTTCATTATGAGAGGGTGCATTTGTGTTAGTCAGGGTTCTCTAGAGGAACAGGACTTATAGGAGAAATGTATATATGAAAGGGAGTGTATCAAGGACAGACTCACACGATCACAAGGTGAAGTCACACAACAGGCCGTCCGCAAGCTGAGGAGCGGGAAGCCAGTCCGAGTCCCAAAACCTCAAACATACGGAAGCCGACAGTGCAGCCTTCAGTCTGTGGCCCAAGGACCAAGAGCCCCTGGCGAACCACTGGTGTAAGTCCAAGAGTCCGAAAGCTGAACAACTTGGAGTCCGGTGTTCGAGGGCAGGGAGCATCCAACACAGGAGAAAGATGAAGGCAGGAAGACTCAGCCAGTCAAGTCCTCCCACGTTCCTCTATTTGCTTTTATCCTAGCTGCGCTGGCAGCTGATTAGATGGTGCCCACCCAGATTGAGGGTGGCTCTGCCTCTCCCCATCCACTGACTCAAATGTTAATCTCCTTTGGCTGCACCCTCACCCACACACCCAGGAACAATACTTTGTATCCTTCAATCCAATCAAGTTGATACTCAGTGTTAACCATCACAGCCTTCACACAGTTTTCAGCTTCCTGGTAACCTGTCTCACATCCACCTTCTGTGCTCTGTAATAATCGGATCCAAATACGATTATTTGGATAGTATGGTAGAGTCAGAAGGCGAGAAAACAGAGAAACAGCTATGTATACCTGCCCACATGGAGACACTGAGAACCAGATCTAACTGCGTTAGAAAGGCGTTTCCAATCTTTACAAGGTGACATTAATTAATGAATCTAAATCATACAGCGCCCCTTCAGGTGGGACAATGCACAGCCTCTACATCCCTGAGTACCAGTGATTAATAGTTTTACTAACATATTTGTATTAACAATTGATTATTTATAACAGCTTTTACATATATTCCCATATCTGTTCTAAAGATTACTTTTTGGACATTTCACTAATCATTTGACAAATTTGAGTGCCTGTTATAGAGTAGGTATGTTTTTTATGAATGATTTATTCACAAAAATGTGTTGATAAAACTGGCAACATTACTTTAAAAAGTAGTTTAGTCTTAAACGTATTATAAATTGATTTTATATGAATTTGAGAATAATATTTACTAAAGTAACACTTGCTGTGAAAGTTTGCATTTATACATACACAAATCTTAATTTTCTAAGATATGCCTATTTTTAATAAGACTTTAGTTTTAACATAATTATTCTAACATTGAAATGGAAATAATGGATTTTTAAGGAATACCTTCTTCCTCTACAAAACCTTTTTCTTTTAAATATTTAACTCAGATGCCTTAGAAGTATTCCAGGATATTTGAGTGAATAAATAGAAAATTTGCATTTCAAATTGCTAAAAATTATATATAACCTTCCATAGTTAGGGTTGTTCTGAAGAATCAGCCCAACAGTTTTGTGTCTTGGTTTCAGTCCATAAAGTATATGTCAATTTCAGATTACAAATACATGTTTAATCTTATTCCAAAAATTTGTTTCAAAAATTAAATGGTTCAAATAGCCTTCTAATTAAATTACTTTGTAAAATTTAGTATATTAAAATGACATGTGCCAAGACGAACAGAACCAAATGAAACAAAGTATTGGTTATAGAAATATAAAATTCATAGGTCCTTCAAATAGCATAAATGTACTCGTTGTAGATTACAATAAATCTAAATATATTATCTGAAGACGATTACAATTAAAGCCTAATTTTATGTAAGTAATTGAATGCAAAGAAATTGGATTGCTATGATGTAGTCATTTTCTATTAAACTGTAAAAGCATTATAGATATTTTGCTATATTTTGATAAGGATTGAAAACTATGAGATATAAGAAGATCTAAATTTTTAAATTTTTACTCAGCTGCATCATATCTTTTTTTTTTTCTTCTGGCCGAGTAGGAATTATCTTGATAAGATTTGAGTAAATTTGTTCATTAAAAGATAGGCTTACTGAAAAACACCATTTCCAAATGGCTTACCAGTTTTATCTGTAAGAAATGAAGTAACAGGTTATGAAAAAATTTGCCCAGCTAATTTTCTTGGAACTATTTCAGAGAAAAGTTCATCTTACATGAAACTGAGTGGGTAGGAGGTGGCTGATGTTTGAGAAAGTCTAGGAGGAAATGACATAATTCAGTGATTGTCTTGCCAATAAAAAAATGAGAATTTCCTTTATCTTTTAGCTTGAAGAAAGGACTAGTTAAAAATAACCATCATTATCAATAGCTAGCCAAAATTCAGACCCAGAACTTAGTAGAAGGGTGTAGATGGCGTGGCATGAGTTGGATTTAAAGAAAAATATGGTAAAGGATACATAAGACGATTATTATTAGAGTCATTTTAACTGTACAATTCAATAGTTTTAAATATATTCACCACGTTGTTTAACTATCACCACTATTTCCAGAACTTTCCATCATCCAACATCCAGTGGACTCTGTGCCTGTTAAATAATAACTCTCCATTCTCCTCCATTGTCTACCTCCCCACCCCTTAGTAAACTCTTTTCTTCCTATCTCTATGAATTTACTGATTCTGTGTACCTCACAAAAGTGGAATCACATAATGTTTGTCCTTTAATGTTTGGCTTATTTCATTTAGCAATATGTTGAAGCATTGTACATATAGCAGGTATCAGGATTCCTTTTTATGGCTGTATAATATTCCACTGTATATACATACCACATTTGTTTATCTGCCAACAGTTACCTGAGTTGCTTCCATTTTTTGGCTATCATAAATAATACCTCTTTGAACATTGTTGTACAAATATCTGTTTAAGTCCCTATTTTCAGTTCTTCTGGGTATATACTAGAAGTAGAATTGGTGGTCATATGATAATTATATGTGTAACTTTGTGAGGCATTGCCAAGCTATTTTCCACAATGGCTACACCATTTTTACATTCCTATCAGCAATGCCTGAGGGTTCCAATTTCTCATATTCTCACCTTCACTCGTTATTCTCTGTTGTTTTCTTTTAACAATAACAATTCTTTTGGGTGTGAAACTGTATCTCATTGTGATTTTGATTTACATTTCCCTAATGACTAATGATGTTGAGCATCTTTACACATGCTTATCGGCCACTTGTGTATCTTCTTTAGAGAAATGACTGTTCAGGTCCACTGACCATTTTGTATTTGGTTTTGTTGTTGTTATTGAGTTGTAGTTGTTAATATATTCTGAATATTCATCCCTTATCAGATATGTGATTTACAGATGTTTTCTATTTTGTGCTGTCTTTTCACTTTCCAGATAGTGTTCTTTGATGCACACCGTTTTTAATTGTGATAAAGGCCTATTTATCTACTTTTTTGTTGCTTGCACTTTTGGTATTGTATCCAAGAAATCACTGTCAAATCTAATGTTGTGAAGATTTTCTTTCCTGATGTTGTCTTCTAAGAGTTTTACAGTTTTTAGCTCTTAGGTTTAGGCATTTGATCCATTTTGGGTTAATTTTTGTATTTGGTGTAAGGTAAGAGTCCAATTTCATTCTTTTGCCTGTGGATGGCCAGTTTTCCCAGCAGCATCTATTGAAAATGCTGTTATTTCCTCATTGAATGCTTTAGGTACCTTGTTGGAAATCAACTGCCCACATGGGTTTATTTTTGGCCTCTCTATTCTATTCCATTGGCTTATATGGCAATCCTTATGCCAGTACCACACTGTTTAGATTACTGTTGTTTTGTAGTGAGATCTGAAATCAGAAAGTGTGAATCCTTCAACTTATTATTTTTCAAAATCGTCTTGGCTGTGTGGACTCCCATGAAATTCCATATGAACTTTAGGATGGAATTTATTTTTGCCAAAAAAAATTGTTGTGATTTTGATAGGGATTGCATGAGTCCATAGATTATATTGGATAATATTGACATCTTTGCAATATTATTAAGTCTTCTATTTCATGAACACAGGGAATCTTTCCATTAATTTAGGTCTTTTTCTTTCAGCAATCATGTGTAGTTTTTAGTGGACAAGTCTTTTGTCTATGTAGTTAAATTTATTTCTAAGTATTTTATTCTTTTTGATCCTATTGTAAATAGAATTGTTTTATTGATTTTATTTTCGGATTGTTCATTACAAGTATATAAAAATACAACTGATTTTTGTGTTTTGATTTTGTGTCCTGCAACTTTGTTGAATTTATTAGCTCTACAGTTTGTGTGTGTGTGTGTGTGTGTGTGTGTGTGTGTGTGTGTGTGTGTTGGAAGCTTTAGGACTTCCTACATTTAAAATCAGGCCATTTGTGTACAGAGATAATTTCACTTCTTCCTTTTTAATTTGAATGCTTTTATTCTTTTTTTTCTTTTCTAGAGCCTCTAGCTGGGACTTCCAGCACTAGGTTGAAGAGAAGTTGATGAAAGCATATAAAAGCACCAGTCAGAACACACAGTCCTGACATTTGGAGGACTAAATCCTTGTTGCCCGGCCTGGCCTCAGCAGGCTTCGCTGGGTATGTGGGCTGCTTCCCTGACAGCTGCCTGGCACAGCCATGACAACAGGGAGAGGCTGAAATTCACTGAAATGTACCAGCCTCTTTATCAAGCTGTTTCTGGATGCTCAAAGTTTTGACTAGACTCGTGAGTTCCAGAATACAGATGGTCCTTGACTTACGATTGTTAGACATAATGATTTTTCAACTTTACAATGATGTGAAAGTAGAAGTGGTGCATTCAGTAGAAACCACATCTCGAAGACCATACACCCATGTTGCTTTTCACTTTTAGTACCGTATCCAATAAGTTACATGGGCTACTCAACCCTGTCTTATAAAATAGGCTTTGTGTTAGATGGTTTTGAAACACAATTGTTCACTTATGAACCTCACAGGGATGTGGCTTGCTCCTCTGGTGCCCTGTTGCTCAAACCCTTAGGGGGAGCAGGCAGCATGCAATGGGCAGGTGCAGAGGCTGTGGGGAGTGCTTCTGAGCTCTGGCCCCACGGCTGGCATCTAGGACTCCTGAAGCCCAACTGAGCATTTGTCACAATGTGCTCTTTCAGCTATGCCGTGGGCAGGCAGCCTGTGTTAATCAGCTCAATAGACCCTCTGCCTTATCACTAAGGATGAGGAGCCAGTGTGACAGCCTGAGTTGTTGCCCAGTGTACCGGAAGAATCAGATCACATGTGGGCTGAGGTTGAGTGGTTGAGTGCAAGGTTTTATTGAGTGGTGGAGGTGGCTCTCAGTGAGATGGATGGGGAGCCAGAAGTGGAGAATGGGATGGGAAGGTGGTCTTCCCCTGGAGTCTGGCAGGCAGACTGTTCTCTGACTGCCCCCAGCCAAATGCCCCTTGGTGTCCAGATGTCCTTGTTCTCTCTTTCTCTGCTGTGCTACCCCACTGCTCTCCATCACTCTGTTCCTCTGCTCCTTTCGATGTTCACGTTTTTTTTGTTGTTTTTTGAGACTGAGTCTTGCTCTGTCACCCAGGCTGGAGTACAGTGGCTCGATCTCGGCTCACCACAACCTCTGTCTCCTGGGTTCAAGTGATTCTCCTGGACTACAGGCGTGTACCACCATGCCAGGCTAATTTTTTTGGATTTTAGTAAAGATGGGGTTTCACTATGTTTGCCAGGATGGTTTCAATCTCCTGACCCTGTGATCACCTGCCTCAGCCTCCCAAAGTGCTGGGATTACAGGCGTGAGCCACGGCACCCAGCCAGAGGTCTCAGGTTTCTATGAGCACAAGATGGGGGGGTGAGGTGGGCCAGAGTGGTCTTGGAAATGTAACATTTGGGTGTGAAAACGGGAGTGCCTGTTCTCACTTAGGTCCGTGGGCAGAGGCCCGAGGGTGGAGCCCTTGCCAGGGATCCTGCCCTTCACTATCTAGCACTTACCTGCCTCCTGTCCTTATCAATTTTGCCCAATTAGAGGCTAATGGAAGTGTTCTGAGCACGTTAAAGGTAGGCTACGCTAAGCGGTGATGTTTGGTAGGTCAGGTGTATTAAGTGCAGTTTTGACTTAGCATATTTCAACTCACAACGGGGTTATCAGGGTCTAATGCCATCATGAGTAGAGGAGCACCTGCAGGTGCTTCAGACAGTTCCTGCCCGTCTGATGGCTGCTTAGAAGGAGGGATGAATTCCTGGAGCTTCCGACACCACCATCTTCTGTGACATCCCATCCCCAAGATTTAGATTTATTTTTTGCCTGGTGGCCTCTTCTAGCCTGATAAATCTTTGTTTCAACAAGGTCAAGGTCATGGGGTAAATTCTTTGTGGGGTGGTTGGCTGCATTTTGTTTAAACTTCACAGATTTTACTACTGATCCTAATTTTTAATTTCACTAATGTGATACACACTTACGTAATCAAAAGACAAACCCTGGGCCAGGTGTGGTGGCTCACGCCTGTAATCCCAGCACTTTCAGAGGCCAAGTGGGGCAGATCACTTGAGGTCAGGGGTTTTAAACCAGCCTGGCTGACATGGTGAAACCCCGTCTCTAGCAAAAATGCAAAAAAATAGCCGAGCATCCTGGCGCATGCCTGTAATTCCAGCTATCCGAGAGCTGAGGCAGGAGAATTGCTTGAACCCATGAGGCAGAGGTTGCAGTGAGCCCAGACTGAACCACTGCCCCCCAGCCTGGGCAACAGAGGAAGACTCTGTCTCAAAACAAAAAACCAAACCAAACCAACCAAACCCTGACTGTGATTATATACATAATTCAATTGTATTTGCTTCTGAAATTTATATAAGTTTAAATTAGGCAGTCACTTTTTGTATATAATTTATTTATATTTGAAAGCCACAAATGACCTATTTAAACTACCCTTTTCATAACTCAGTGAAACAATGTCTTAGAAACATTTCGTTTTTTCTGTTCTGTTCTACAACCAACACTTTTTTCCAGTCAGGTCCAGGCTTAGTGAAAAAGAAACACTGGTCCTCTGTCCTCCACTTTCACTATCTTTTTTCCTCCAGTCAGAATAATCTCAAATTTACAATGTTAAAATCAATCAGAACTATATCACATTTTTATTAGGATGCAAGGTTTTTTTTAACTTTATCACAAAGAGGATGAATGTGGAGGCTTTCCATCTGAAGATAAAACTATTTATTTAAAAATGTTTAAAAATTACAATGTTTCCAGCAGCTTCTTTTTGAGTTACTAACACACTCTAGTTAAGGTTTGGCCAGCTAATCCTTAGTTTCTGCTTTAAAATGTTCTAAATTCATGTTTTACTTTTGGAAAATAACAACAGAGATGTTTGAGGGGTTATTTTCTGCTTAATGAAAGAACTAGGAACGTGTTTTATTCTAAAGAAAGAATTCCACTTGCCTTTAAATGAATATATACCTTTTGACCAAACAACCAGGTTTTCTTTCTTTCTTTTTTTTTTTTTTTTTTGAGATGGAGTTTCACACCTGTCACCCAGGCTGGAGTGCAGTGGTGAGATCTTGGCTCACAGCAACCTCTGCCTCCCGGGTTCAAGACATTGCACCCGGCCAGATTTTCTTTTTCTAGCAAGGGGACCCTCTTAAACTTGAAGAGGACCACGGTGGTTGAGGCTGGGCAGCAAGGCTTTACTGCAAATCCTTTGCCACTGTTTTGTTTTTTTTTTTTTTTTCCCTTTTTTGGCTTTCTGGAGAACGTTCTAGAAAAAGGTTTCTAGCACTTTCTCCCTCCTGGCCTGATAGTCCCTCTTTGGCGTAACCTTCCTTTCACTTTTCTTCTGCCTGGAGGAAATGAAGTTACATGGGAACATTCTCTTGAAACTTTCCAAGAGAAAAACAGAAAGGTTCTAAGCACTGAATGTGAATGAGGGAGATGGGCTTCAACTCTGAAGTGTTTCCAGTGTAAAACTGTCCTTTCCGGGGCCAGGCGCAGTGGCTCACACCTGTAATCCCAGCACTTTGGGAGGCCAAGACAGGTGGATCACAAGGTCAAGAGATCGAGACCATCCTGGTCAACATGGTGAAACCACTTCTCTACTAAAAATACAAAAATTATCTGGGCATGGTGGCACGTGCCTGTAATCCCAGCTATTCGGGAGGCTGAGGCAGAATTGCCTGAACCCAGGAGGCGGAGGTTGCAGTGAGCCGAGATTGTGCCATTGCACTCCAGCCTGGGTACCAAGAGCAAAACTCCGTCTCAGAAAAAAACAAAACAAAACTGTCCTTTCCAGGGCCCGCTGTGGCTGCCACCTAAGAGTAGAGGTTGTCTGCGGAGACACCCCTGACTCCGCTGCTGCTCGGGTGAAGCTCCGTCTCTGGCACAGGTAATGGCCTGCAGCTTGGTCTCCACCCAGCCCTGTCTGAGCAGGCCAGAGCGCCCAGCTGTTTCAGTTCTCTCCTTCCGGACTCCTCGCAATCACCATCACCCTCTCCTCCCCACCCCGTCACCCTTCTCCCACACGTGTCCCCTTCTCCTCTTCCTCTGCGTCTGCTCTTCTCAGAAGTTAGCTTACAAAGCAAAGTTGTAACTGAATTCCTGTTTTTCCAGTCATCCTCATGTGACAGGATGTCTCCTTAGTGGAGGCTTTCCCTAAATTCAGGAGCCCTTTAAAAGGGAGGGCTTCCTCTGTGGTTCTTTTCAGCTGGGCAGCTCTGAGACCTTGGATTAGGTGGAGGTGCAGTCAGGGAGACGCATTGTTTTGCTGCTTTGTTGCGCCCTCCTCTCCATCTGAGGAAGGAAAGGATAAACCCTGAGCCATGAGGCTACCTCTGCTCCTGGTTTTTGCCTCTGTCATTCCGGGTGCTGTTCAGCTACTGGGTAAGTCTGCTCTGGGCAGGGGGCTTTCTGATTTGGGGGGCTGGAACCACGCCTTTCTCTCCTGGGTTACTGTGAATGGTTTCCTTCCAACACCTTTGCGAGGAGAACATGCAGCTCACCTGCACCACGCAGCCCTGGGCTAAGCCTGCTGCCTTCACCTGGCGGCCAGGCACCGAGGCCTGGAGTCGGAGGAGGGAGGAGGACGCGTCTCAGGTCTCCGTTGCTGCATGGCCTGGAGCCCTGCAGACCCTCGGTCTCCTCCTGACTTCTCTCATTGCTCATTGTTCCTTCCCTGTTTTCTTCGTGCAGAAACTTCCTGCTCTGTGGTTTACTCTTTCTGGTTTTCAATTCACAGTATTTCTCTCTCATCACCAACAAATGCCCTCGGAGTGTCTTTGGCTGGAGGGAGGGCAGCCCTGGCGCCCCCTCATCGTACTTAGGTCCAAGGACATAATCACAGATCATCACCCTACAAGTGATTCCAAGCAGTTTCCACGCTCATTTCCTTTTTTTTTTTTCCGGCTAGGATCATTCATACACTTGATTGTTGGAAAGTTCATCCTTATCTGTATTCTAGACTGTTCAAACTGCCACATAAGCAGATCGATTCCTGTTTTTCTTCTTTTTTCCTGAGATTAGAGATTACTCAGGAACAGCTCCAGAGTTTTTCACATTTTCGAACACATTCTCCAGTAATTCTCTAGACTCAATTGCTTAAACTTCAGGATGGCAGTGCCTTGGGGGATTTTCATTCCTAGTTCTGTTTGGAGATGCTATGGAAGAAATTTCAAATTCGATTTTCTGGTTTCCGATCCCCCTTTATTTCTATGAAATCAACAAACACTTGCAGAATGTGGTTTGTGCCTATGACCTACTCTATGCACTGATGTGATGGTGGGCAGGAAGTTTCCTAGGAAGAGAGTATTTTACTACCTCAAAGGTTAAATCGTAATAAGCATTGAGTAGTAGTGATGTGAAAAACACAGTGAAGGCTTTGTGGTTTACACCCTGTCTCTCTCTCTCTCGCTAGCTTTGCGACCTTGGGCAGGCTACTTTCTTTGTGCTTTAGATTCCATGTCTATAAAATGGAGAGAATAGTATTACCTGCCTTCATCAGTTCTTGTGATGATTCAATGAGTAACAATATGTGAAATGTTTAGAACAGAGTATGACCCATAGTAAGTGCCTTATAACTGTTAGCTATTAAAATCAGTGGCAGAAAAGAAGTATAAAAAAGACCCAATAAAAACAATAGATGAAATTAATTTTATTTTTATTTTTGAGACAGACTCTCAGTCTGTCACCCAGGCTAGAGTACAGTGGCATGATCTTGGCTCACTGCAACCTCAGCCTCCCAAGTTCAAGTGATTCTTATGCCTTAGCCTCTGAAGTAGCTGAGATAACATGCACCACCATGCCCAGCTGATTTTTGTATTTTAACAGAGATGGGGTTTTACCATGTTGGCCAGGCTGGTCTCGAACTCCTGACCTCAAGCAATCTGCCCTCCTCAGCTTCCCACAGGTCTGGGATTATAAGTGTGAGCCACAGTGCCCAGCCCTGATTTTATTAATATATTTTACTTCACCCAGTAACTCGGAAATATTATCACTTAACATTTAATCTATTTGGGATAATTTCCCATTCATTTCTCAAAATTAACTCTTCAATATCTGGGGTGTATTGTATACTTACAGCACATCTCAATTCACACCAGTGTCATGTTAAGTGTACCGTGGTCACATGAAGCAACTGGCTATCATGTTGGGGAGCACAGATACGGTGCCAAATTTTTTTTTTAGTTGTATTTAAACTTTTTATTTATTTTTATTTTTTTAATTTGGAGGTGGAGTCTTGCTCTGTTGCCAGGCTGGAGCACAGCGGCGCAGTCTCATCTCACTGTAACCTCCGCCTCCTGGGTTCAAGTGATTCTTCCGCCTCAGCCTCCCGAGTAGCTGGGACTACAGGTGTGTGCCAAACGCCTGGCTAATTTTTGTATTTTTAGTAGAGACGGGGTTTCACCGTGTTGGCCAGGATGGTCTTGATCTCTTGACGTCATGATCCACCCGTCTTGGCCTCCCAAAGTGCTGGGATTATGGGCGTGAACCACTGTACCCAGCCTAAACTTTTTATTTTTATTTTATTATTTTTTAAATTGTATTTTAGGTTCTGGGGTACATGTGCAGATCATGCAGGATTGTTGCATAGGTATGCACATGGCAATGTGGTTTGCTGCCTCCAGCCCCCCCCCGCCGTCACCTACATCTGGCATTTCTCCCCATGTTATCCCTCTTTGACCTCCCCACCGCCCTCCACTATCCCTCCCTTGCCCCCCATAACAGTACCCAGTGTGTGATGCTCTTCCCCTGTGTCCATGTATTCTCATTGTTCAACACCTGCCTATGAGTGAGAACATGCGGTGTTTGATTTTCTGTTCTTGTGTCAGTTTGTTGAGAATGATGGTTTCCAGATTCAACCATGTCCCTACAAAGAACACGAACTCATCATTTTTATGGCTGCATAGTATTCCATGGTGTATATGTGCCTCATTTTCCTTGTCCAGTCTACCATTGATGGGCATTTGGGTTGGTTCCAGGTCTTTGCTATTTTAAACAGTGCCACAATGAACATATGTGTGAATGCATCTTTCTAATAGAATGATTTATAATCCTTTGGGTGTATACCAAATTTTCTTTAAACTGACTCAGTAATGCTTCTAGTGAGAGTGTTTGTCGGTTTGCTCTGGAGTGTTTCCCTCTTCTCGACAGCAGGATGCCCTCCTCTGACTAATGTCTTCCTCTTCATAGGCGCAGATACTGGGGAGGGAAGGGGGATGCTGAAGATCTCTTTACTTGGAGAATAAACAAAGAAACAAAAAATTCAAGGGAGCCCCTTCCAGATTTTGTTTTTCACCTGAAAGCCTGTAATTTGTGTTGTTTTGCTTTTTGAGATGGGTTTCACTCTGTCCCACAGGCTGGAGTGCCGTGGTGTGATCATGGCTCACTGCAGCCTTGACATCTGGGCTCATGCCATCCTCCCCCCTCAGCCCGCTCCCAGCTCCCCAGTAGCTGGAACTTCAGGCATGAGCCACCATGCCAGGCTAATAATAATAATAATAAAAAGGTGTTTTCGTTTGTTTCTTTTGTTTTATAGACACAGGGCCTCACTATCTTGCTCAGGCCCATCTCAAATTTCTGGGCTCTGGTTATCCTCCCACCTTGGCCTCCCATAGTACAGGATTATAGATGCGAGCCACCACACCCAGCCTGTAACTCTAATTTTATCTCTTCTTGGCCCAAGAAGTGTGTGATTAGAGGAATCTGTGTAAAGGCAGAGCACCTGCTTAGCAGCGGGTTAAAGGTATGTGAAGCCTCATGACCTCTCCCCTTGCTTCCTGCCCAGGAGAAAACCCATGGGAAGGTCTCCCTACTTGCAATTCATTTATTTATTTTCAACTCACAACCCTTCCTTCTACCTTCGGGAGAGCATCCCACAGCATTAGCACCGTAAGTCTCTGTGGACAGCTGCCAACAGATGGGCTGGTTCTACCTGGAGGGGTCCAGGAGGCTAGAGGGTAACAGGGCTAGCTTCTCCCTCTTCCTACTGTTGTTCTTGCTGTGCTGTCTTTTTAGCACTCAGCACCAACGTTTAGAGCTCAGTTGAGTTATAATCATGGTAGATGCACCATGAGAGCCAGTGGGACACAGAGGTTACACCACAGCAAAGACATTTAACTTGGAAATGGGAGGGTTTGGCTCACAGGTAGTGGTGTATTGGTAAACTTAACTACTGGTTCCAAGAAAGAAAATAAAGGAAGCACTGATTTGATTTATGATGTTTACTGATTTCCGTATTGTAAATATTCCCACTGTGGTTTATTTCGAACTACCAACCTGATACCACTGGGGGCGGAGTTGGAAGAGATGCCAACAGTAGGCTCTTACTAACTGCTGCCATCGGGCCCAGGTCAATATGGAGCCTTTCTAGACTCTGGGAAGGCAGTTCAAACAGCAGGTCAGGTGTCATGCAAAGTCTAGAACATCTGCAAAAAATGAAAATGAGAGACGTCTTGGTGGACAGAGAAGCCTTAGAATCATGGAGCATTAAAGCAAGAAAGAACTCGGAAATGATGCATCATTGACGTCATCATTTTATAGATGAAGCACAGGCTCAGGGAGATAAAACGTCCAGAAGGTGACTATAGAGCAGGGAGAGGCAGATCCATGTCTCTGCCCAGCAGCTTGTACTTTTCCACCTCTGCTTAGATTTCTTGCTGCGTTATTAGATCAAGTAAGTGCAAATTAGATCGTTCCTGTTGCCACCTGTGGGGCTCACATTTGGCTGGAAAGGATCCAGCTGTGTTTCTGACTCTGCCATCACATTAAAGGTATAATCCCGATATATTTCTATTTCATTTCCCTCATTGAAATGCTGAGGAAGATCATTATTATCATGTAATTATCATAGTAGTCGTTTTCACAATCACTCTTGAAAACTTTGATTCCAATATAAATGAATGTCAAGTAAAATCTTGATTCTTCAATGTATTTATTTTTTCACAAAACTGAATTAAGTGGGAGAAAAATACAAGCACCTTTCTCCTTTTTTCTACATTTGTACTCCAACTTTCTCAGCGTTTCTATCTAGAAGGCTGCACTAACTTTTATGCTTTGGAACATAAGGCTGGATTAGTTTTTTTCTGAGACAGGGCCTCACTCTGTCACCCAGGCTGGAGTGCAGTGGCATGATCATGGCTCACTGCAGCCTTGACCACCCAGGCTCAAATGATTCTCTCATCTCAGCCTCCTAAGTAGCTGGGGCCACAGGTGCATGCCACCAGGCCTGGCTAATTTTCGCTTTTTTTTTTTTGAGATGGTGTCCTGCTCTGTTTCCCAGGCTTGAGTGCAGTGGTGCCATCTCAGCTCACTGCAGTGTCCGCCTCCTGGGTTCAAGCAATTCTCTGCCTCAACCTCCTGAGTGGCTGGGATTACAGGTGCCCGCC